TTGCCGCACGCGGAGTCAAGACATATCTTCTCGATGGACTGGTGCACACGCCTATGGTACCGTTCAGCGTCAAGCATCTCAAGGCGGCGTGTGGGGTTATGATTACGGCCAGCCATAACCCGAAGGACGATAACGGTTACAAGGTCTACTGGGAGAACGCCGTACAGATTATCGCGCCACACGACACGGGCATCTCCGCCTCTATTCAGTCCAATCTTGCTGTGAAGCAGGAGATATGGAGTGCTGCCGACTCTGTGAAGCCATACGAACATACGGACGACTTGATCACGGCGTACTTTGCCTACCTCCAGACGCTGAGCACTTCGCGCTCGACCAACTCTACTTGTGATGTCAAGTTCGTGAATACGTCTATGCATGGTGTCGGACACCCGTTCGTGAAGAGAGGGTTCGAGGTGTTTGGGTTCAAGCCTTTTGTTGCTGTTGAGAGGCAGAGGGACCCGGATCCGGAGTTTACGACCGTTAAGTTCCCGAATCCGGAAGAAAAAGGTTCGTACTGGTGGTGGTTTCGTATGAAGGAATGTCTATCCTGATTGTGATTCGTAGGAGCACTGGATCTGGCGCTGGAAACGGCTGAGAAGGAAGGCGCGACGTACGTTCTGGCGCAGGATCCAGATGCGGATCGGTTCTCCGCTGCCCAAAGGAGGTGAAACGGTTTCAGCTGATACGTTTATGCAGATACTGACATGGAGTTAGATCTGATGGTACTTGGGTGACCTTCACCGGCGATCAACTTGGTACATTATTCGGCGCAAGAGTCTTCGAGACGTACAAAGCGTCTGGTAAACCTCTTGGTGCGCTCTCTCATTCGTCGGGCTGTTGGCGGAACGTTGATGAGCTCCACCTGTGTAGACCGCCTTGCGATGGTAGCTTCGACTGTGAGCTCAAAGATGGTCGAAGCCATCGCGGAGCACGAGGGTTTCAAATTCGTCGAATGTCTTACTGGTGCGCTTCTCTCTGCCAACCTCGCTTTGGTGTTATTCAGTCTATTCAGGCTTCAAGTTCATCGGCAATACCGCGCTTGATCTTACAAGGGATGGTTATACCGTGCCATTTGGGTATGAAGAGGCGATCGGTTTCATGGTCAGCGAAGAGATCCGGGATAAGGACGGTGTCTCTGCTACGGTGCGCGCGTGTATATACTGAATATGGGCTGTCAATACTGATACGCGTGACAGCTTTACTTCGCAGAGCTTGTTGCGGATCTACATAAGCGGGGTAGCGATGCGTACTCGTACTTGCAAGAGTTATATGAGAAGTATGGGTTCTTCCAGGTGAGTGGTTGAACTTGGCCACTCAACGATGTGCTAAGGCGCGCCAGACGAGCAATAGCTACTTCATATGCAGCGAACCCGCGACTATTGACCGGATCTTCACACGACTAAGGGACTACGACGGCCAGGTACGACTGCATTGGTTCCACGCGTCGTGCAGCTTCTAACGGTCTCGCAGGCGACCAAGGAGCGCCCGAGCTATCCCAAGTCCATCGGCGGCTTGACCGTGACTTCGATCCGCGACCTCACTGTCGGCTACGATAGCTCCAATCCTCCATCTTACAAACCTACGCTCCCGCTTTCATCTGGACATATGGTCCAGTTCCGCGCCGCGAGTGATAACGCGAAGATTACGCTGACCATTCGGTGAGTGGTCAAAGTGCGGTACCAAAAAGGCTATATGCTGAACTACATCCGCAGGACGAGTGGCACCGAACCGAAGGTCGGTCCATCCGCGTTCTGGACCCGTATACACCGAAAACTGACTTCTCCGATGCAGATCAAATACTACCTCGAAGGCAGCAGCAAGGAAGCGGCTTCGGTTGCTCCCGTTTTGGTAGGCGTAGTGCGAGAACTGGCAGACGAATGGATGCAAGCGGGTCCGAACGCTTTAGGGCGCCCTTAAAACCTGTGTAGATCGTAGATCGGGCATTGACATTGACGTTCCCGATCAAAAAGGGAGCTTCTTGAATGCTGACGTCGTCGACCCCGGAAGTATCGCAACGAAAGTCGAACCAAAACTCACGTGCGCGCGACGCTGCGGTTCACTTCCCCGCATTCACCTGTACGAATATTTCTGAGACTTGTATCAAGGTACAGGGTAGTGTTAGACGCCTTAGGAAGCACGTCGTAGAATAAGGAAGTTTGCGCAGTTCATGAGAGAACACGAGTGGAGAAGACGAGCCGCTCAATGCCTCGTGTTTGACTTCGTCATTCCGCCGGAAAGACGCTCTGCAAGCTGCAGCACCTTGCCTCTCGACGCCCACCTCACGCCCCTTCGCCATGCCCGTCGCATACTCTGCGCGCAGAGTCCCTCCGCCAAGTGTACAATATTATGCCGCTCCCTCGTCCAGCTCCTCGGTACAACAGACTCTGCCGTATAGGCGCGTGAGTTCCGGAAGGGGACAACATCGGAGAGCGCAGTCTTCGCAGGGAACTGTACAATTACCGCCTCAGAACCATGTCGCGCATGGAGTGGCTACTGGATCTATTGGAGCTGGCTTTGGGCCTTATGCTGTACGTTTGTGATCATACTGTCTATGATGAATCAAACTGAATGTTTTGCAGCACGATCCATATTCGCAACATGGTCCACAAGCAATGTACTACAGCCCACGACAATCCTACGCCCGATCATACGCACCCTCACGATACAGCTATGCCCCGACAGCCCAACAACCGCCCGAACCCGAAGAGCCGATGGTGGAAGAAAAGCCGGCACCACACCCGACGACGGCCACCGTCCCCGCGTACATGTGGGACGCCAAAGACCCGGAACTCGACGACGCGATGCACAACCCCGATCCGCGGATCGACGCCGCGCTCGACAGACGGTTACGGCTGTTTTCCAGCCGAGGATGGATGAACGCCAGCGCTATGATCATTATCCTTTTGGGATTGCTCATGCTATTTGCGGGGTACCCGATTATTGCCTTTGGCCCGCTCGCGAGCATCAACGCGGAGAAGGCCGCCGCGGCAGCGAGCAATGCGACGGGGAATATTCCGATTCCGAGTTTGGTGGACAAGGATACGCCTAGTAGTGCGCTTACGAGGACGGGGTCGGATGGGAAGAAGTACAAACTCGTGTTTTCGGACGAGTTCGAGACGCCCGGCAGGTCGTTCTACCCTGGCGATGATCCGTACTGGCAGGCTGTCGACTTCCATTACTGGTGAGCGCCATACTCCTTTGTGCAATTTGAGCGTCTTTTTGCCGCTGCGGAGACGGGTATCGAACCTCGAGGCTGGTGCGCGCGGGGCTGTGCGCGTCTGTTGGAGCATTCGTCCCCTTCCGCCGCAGAGTCGCGTGCGATATTCCACATGCGCTCGTGCCCTTTCTGCCTGCATCTTTACGTTGAGAAGCATTCCGGGTACTGACGATCTGACCCAGGCCTACCGGTGATCTTGAGTGGTATGACCCGAAAGCGGCGACCACAGCAGACGGCAAGCTGGTCATTACTATGACGCAGGAGAACATACATGGGCTGAACTACTCGAGTGGTGCGTCGTCTGTGACTTGTACAGCGGGTGCGGGGAACTCACGCCTGCGTGTGCTATAGCGATGCTACAGAGTTGGAATCAGTTCTGTTTTACCACGGGCTACTTCGAGGTTTCCATCAGTATGCCGGGATCTGCCAGAGAAGTCGGTTTTTGGCCAGGAGCGTGGAGTATGGGCAACCTGGTACGTATCCGTGTGACCTTGAGCGTCTGAGGCCATGCTAATGCAGGCGCAGGGTCGCGCAGGATATGGTGCAACGACGGAAGGAACTTGGCCTTACAGTTATGACGGTGAGTGCTGGAAGTCCAATCTCACGCACACACGCCTTGCTCAACTCCGAATGTAGCATGCGATCTCGGGACATTCCCTAATCAGACATACCACAATGGTACACCAACGGCTGACGCAACAGGCGGCATCGGGGGTAGCGAGCTCTCCTTCCTTCCCGGACAACGTCTCTCGTCATGTACATGCGAAGGCTCCGATCACCCCGGTCCCGACGTCACTGTAGGCCGCAACGCCCCCGAGATTGATATCGTCGAAGCGCGTATCGACACGACAGTCTACGTCGGCCAAGCCTCCCAGTCCCTACAAACCGCACCATTCAACTACCAATACCAATTCCCGAACGCCTCCGCCATACAGAGCATAACCAACACCAGCCGGACCGTCCTGAACACGTATAAGGGAGGGAACAGTCAACAGGCGTTGAGCGCGCAGAGTTACTTCAATACCGGGAGTTATGGTGGGAATGCGTATAGCACTTACGCGTATGAGTGGTGGTCGGATCCCGATAGTAGGAATGATGGGTATGTGCAGTGGTATGTGGAAGGAGATAAGACCTGGAAGGTCGATGCGAGCTCGCTGGCGGGGGACGATATCACCCTCATCTCGAACAGGCTGATCCCGGAGGAGCCGATGAGCATGATTCTGAACTTTGGCATGGCTCGTACGTGTACTCCGTTTGATCTCTCCGGGCATGTACTGACTGGGACCCCCCGTAGCGTCGTTCCAGGAGCAGGACTTCACGACGTTACAGTTCCCAAGCCAGATGTTCATCGAGTACGTGCGCGTGTATCAGCGCGAGGACGTCGCGGGTGGAGACTCGATCAGCTGTAGCCCACCGTCACATCCCACGGCGGACTATATCGCCAGGTATGTCCTCTTCCTACATTTCCCTCTGTCTATGGGATCGCTGACGAGCGCATTCATAGTCATCCGGAGGCATACCAGAACCCTAACTTCACGACATGGGCCCAAGCAGGTTATACCTTCCCGCGCAACCGCTTGTTCGACGGATGCTAGTCTAGCAGTGCATATAGAGCATCTCGCTGGACTTTTCTTCTGTATGGCTGTGTGTATTTGTATGCGACGGCGACGGACTTCAATGCGACTGACGACGACTCACTACGGTTTCCCTTTACCCCCCGCCCTCCACTCTGACACAACCCACCTCACCGCATTCCCCCACCCCACATCTTACCCTCCATCCCCATTTGCACCCATCTCCATCTCCATTTGTGCATGGCATCGCTCATACCATCTCACTCTCATCTCAGTTCATACTCTTGATATGATTCTTACGGTCTTCACGCTTCTAATGAGTTGTTGAACAGTACTCATCTGCCTGGCATTGGCAATGGCATTATGTATCTTTCGATCATTCCATGTCTGCTCCTTGTTGGACCCGGATGGACGTCAGTCAGATGTTTGACGCCACTACACGAGTGGATCGCGGACGCGCGTCGATGCTGACTGGCGTTCGCGAGCTAGCCTTCTCGGCCCATCTTACCATCACGTACACTTTGGTTTGATCGGCAGTCTGTGTACCGTGGTCCGTGGAGGAGTTCGAGCTATCGCGCACCAGTCGTTGTGGCACTGAGGCGGCCGCACCGTGGCCGACGGGACCCAGCTTCGCAGGTATCTGAGCGAGGAGTGCCACGAATCTGACTTGTCCCCAGTCGCTGAGGGTATGGGTCGATGTGATGTATGACTCTCATCTTCTCTTGGGCTACCGAGCTTGACCTCGCCTGTTGCTAGCCCACGCGGTCACGTGTGTTATATTGATGCAAGAAGCGCACAATGATCTACGTCCCGGCGGGCAGCGAGCCGCTTTAGAAGCGTGTAGAACGATCCGAACGTGGCACAGACAGCCATACGGCCTGCCGAAACTACGAAGCATACAGAAGCATACGCGGTCCCATCGGTAAGCAGGAGAAAATGTAGCTTGCGGGAGCAATGCCGAGATAGGCTAGCGCATTGTCATTCAGCAGTACGCGACAGAGTATTGCACTCTCTGTAAGTACTATACGGTGCCGTTTTGTTTTCTCTCATGAGCGCTGAAGTATATGGCAGGACTCAGATGGGAAACAAGTAGCCTCTCTGCCGCAAGCGGCGATGTTTTGGACAAAGCTAGGTCCCATCATGACGCGAAATGAGCTTGTCATCGCAATTGGTTCCTCGCAGATCTTTGTCAGTACCGTCGATTTCCTGATGAAGTTGGTAAGCTGTTGCTTTTCCTTGGCTGTTCGATACGACCATTTGCTAACGCGCTCGACAAACGCAAACGCGCGTCGAAGACGCCTCCTCCGGCAAGGCTCCGGATGAGGCGGCGGGCGGGATGAATGGCGAGCTAATAAAGAGCAGCTCTGTTCGCCAGTCAAACATCCAGTAATCCTCTCTCAGACCTCCTTCTACATCCTACACCATGTCTGCCGTTGCCAGCAAGCTCTTCCAGCCTATTCGCGTTGGCACTGTCCAGCTCGCTCATCGTGTCGTCCTCGCGCCCATGACGCGGAACCGCAACACCGAGGACCATGTCCCGACCAATCTCAACCTCGAATACTACACTCAGCGCGCGGCGACTCCTGGCACGCTCTTGATCACTGAGGCGACCATCGTTGCTGACAAGGCCACTGGCCAGAAGTTTATTCCCGGTATCTGGAATGACAACCAGATCCAGGAGTGGAAGAAGGTCAGATATTCCTTCTGCAACCAGTCATCTTGATCTGACATGGACAAACACGTCTAGATCGTTGACGCTGTCCATGCTAAAGGATCGTTCATCTACTGTCAGCTCTGGGCGCTTGGCAGGGCGGCCTACCCTGAGGTCATCGAGGCCAAGGGATTTGACTACGTCTCTACGTCCGCCATCGGCCTCAAGGACCGCGCCAAGGCCCCGCGTGCGCTAACCACCGAGGAGGTCAAGGAGTACGTCCAGCTCTTCGGAAAGGCAGCGGACAACGCTGTCAACGGTGCAGGCTTCGATGGCAGTATGTTGCCTCACGATTGAGGAACTCGAAGAGAAACTGACAAACATGCAGTCGAACTTCACGCTGCCAACGGCTATCTCATCGACACGTTCCTCCAGGACGTCTCCAACGAGCGCACTGACGAGTACGGCGGAAGCATCGAGAACCGCATCCGTTTCGCGGACGAGATCGTTGACGCCGTCGTCAAGGCTGTTGGTCAGGAGCGTTCCGCCATTCGCCTGAGTCCCTGGAATGTCTGGCAGGGTAAGCCATCCTCACTTCTTGATACAACGAACCAAGCTGACTGAGAGCCGACAGAGATGGGTATGAAGGACCCGGTCCCGACTTTCAAGACTCTCGTCGAGCGCATCAACTCGAAGTACCCCAACTTTGCCTACATCCACGTCGTAGAGCCCGACGCGTACGGCGAGGGTAGCGTCGCGGAGGGTGTTGTGCGCTCGAACGACTTCATCGACGAGATCCGCCTTCTTAAGCCCGTCATCCATGCTTCGGGTTATGACCGGGCCAGCGCGCTCAAGGCCGCCGAGAAGGAGGGCGTGCTTGTCGGCTTCGCCCGCTCGTTTATCGGTAACCCTGATCTGGTAGTGAAGCTCGAGAAGGACACGGAGCTTGTGCAGCCGGACTACACGAAGCTCTTCACGCAGGGCCCGGAGGGTTACATCGATTACCCGTCTGCGGAGAAGATCGCGACTGCTGCATAGGACATTGTCTGCATCATACATTCCGATGTATCCATGCCATTATGATTAGACAGTAGCAATGATTCATAGACCATTATATGAAGCCGATACACACTTGGTCAGAGGGCACAGGAGAACAATGATCAGTGAGACAAGCCATCCGCGTGCCGATGATCAGCTCTCGAGAGCTCGAGATCTTCAGGTCCGTGGAAGTTGGAAGTCTCAACGTGGTTGAGGGACAAGGGCAAAGCGTGCTGCGGCACGCGCCAGGTGGTTGTCACGGATGCGTGACGGTGTTGCTCGACGCGCGTGTTCAGATTCGTCGCTTTCCACCCGACCATAACGTTCGCACTACGCCCGTGGTACTCATTTTAAGGACACTCATCCATTTCGAGGTTCTGAAATCTCCCCAGTGAGTTCATTGATTTGGGTAAAATTCTCCTTGTCCTCGAGGTGTGCAGCGTGTCGAGTCCTCGCGCCACCGGGCAGGTCTGCCATCCGGTCCATGCTTCTCGAGAGTTGCACACCATTGGATTAGCTTCAAACGCAAGACGGAGCTTCCTGGCGCCAATTGAGGCGACCTTCACACCATGTGGAGGTCCAGAAGGTCCAGAAGCATGCTATAGCATCAACACGCGCAATACACCCTCAAGTAGCAAGGCGCGAAGACTCAACCTTTTCTAATCTCAACCTTAGATAGCACAACCCTCCCTGTGATCTGGCCAGGCATCATCAGATACGAGATAATCCGGACCAGCTCTGGACTTCTATCAATCGATACATACCATCGCCTCTCAACGGCCCCATTGTCCTCTGCGATAAGACATCGCGGTCCCAGTGAAGCGAACCATCAGGCGTCACGGCGGTGACTACCACGGCGAGATGTTTATAAGGTAAGGGCATCATCTCTAGATCAGTATTCCCAGTTCTGCTCCCACCTCTATTTTGAACCATCGCAATGTCCACTGGCGATGCAGCCCGGCAGAAGACGCCGGATGCCGATGTTGACGAGCTTCATCTTCGTATGCAGCAGCTCATGGCCTCGCCCGGAAACGTTAACGGCACCGCAGCTCGCGTCTCGGGTAGTGGCATCGTGAGCTTATAGTATATATTGATCTGTTGCTTTCGATGAAATGGGGCTGATACCTCTCCAGCCAGAAAGCTATCGAGGACACGATAGCAACCGACCTCGAGAAGTTCCGGCCGACGACGGTCGACAAGATGCTTGAGGCCTTCCTTCGAATGGTTCTCATAAATGAAGAAGTCTTCCAAGGCGGACAAGCGCTCTTGGATCATTACCTGACTGCTGTTCTTCCTGTATGCAACGACCCAAGTGTCAAGGATCATCTGGAGAGCTAGTATGTGGCGTTCAACGTGCATGCGCCATTTCCCTTTCCGATCTAATCTTCTCTCCCTAGCTGCATCGCGGACAGCGAGGCTGCTCGCTATGCGCCGTTTATCACCTGTTTCAACGCTGCATTACGCAAACTCGAGGCAATTGATGGCGAGTTCTTGAAGGCCTTGCCCTCGCAAGACAACAGGATCATCTTCTGTCGAAACGACCCACGGCCTATTTCTGCCAACTACGAAGGTAATAGGACTAAAGTGAAACCCGACGTCGTGATTACGACGTTGCGAGGAGCTAGGGTGCGGTGTGGTAAAAATGCGGACGATCGGTTGGACTATTTCTGGGTTCTCAGCAAAGCCCCTATGGCGCCGCTTGAGACCAAAGCTTCAGAGCTCTCGCCTTTTACGTGGGACCATGTTCTGTCTTCGCAGGAGTTCAAGGCTTGGTTCAAAGCGTTGAATGCTCGCCCACGCCCTACCTACGATAGCATCAAGCTACAGAGACCAGATATACCACCTTTCGAGGATGTTCGTGCCATGGTGCCTCCTGGGAAACTCACAGGTATGAAAGAACATCTCACTGATTACTCGTAACTGAGCACTTGTCACAGCACCAGCGGATCAGTCTTATCTGCAGTCCCAGCCCGCGCAAAGCTCTGGAAGCAAGCGCAAGGCAGAAGAAGACCTTGATCAAGAGAGGTCTACACTTGCAGGTCTGCTGGTCTTGGCATCGTGAGCTGCCAGCGTGACTGATATTGGATACTTCTAGGTCAGAGGAGGTCTAGTCGGGACACGAGAGCATCGCAGGAGGCGGCGCATAAGATGCAAGAGGAGGAAATGAAGATGGTCGTTGCGAAGGTGAAGGCCCATCTTGCACAACAGACAAATCAGATGTCGGTGAGATCCGACCTACCTCCGATGGTCCAGACGGGGACGTACGCTGCGAACATGCTATCCCGTACCAGCATTACCTCGCACGCCATCAACATGGCGATAATTGGTATGTCCTCTCAACTTTCATGCTAAAGACTCTCGGTAACGTATTTTTGTCAGATACGATGGTCTGGGTATGGTGGTGCGATCGTGAAGGGGCAATACAGTCTGCCGGCATTGACTTCGTTGAAGACCTACCCCGCTTCCTCGTCTTACTCCTCGCGTTGCAACGTTTTGATTTGAGCGACTGGGGCTTTGTTCCTGAACTGGATTCCAAAGTCCAGGAGATCCACCGTGGGGCGAAGGCGAAGGCAGCTCTATTGTACGACGTGCCACGGTCCGCCGAGGTCAAGATCAGCCTTCACAAGAACCCTCTTTATCACCGATACACCCTCTTGGGGAGGGGCACGCTCGTGCTCGACATCGATCGACCAGAAGCTCTCTTACCCGCCGGAGACGAGCGGGGCTACGTCGTCAAGCTCTCGTGGCCTGACAGCGGGCGCAAATCCGAATTCGAGCTCATCGCACATCTGCTCGAGGCATGTGAGGGCGTCAGCGACATCGTTGATCACCTACCACGTATCGTCGCGTCTCGTACTCACGATGATCAGTCAACTAGGACGATCCGGGAGATACTTGGCATCAAGTCCAGAGAACGCACGGCGCGACGTCGCGACGAGACGATGCAGACTATCCCCATCGACGCGCATCGCGTGCTTCGCTCTGTGGTGTCCGAAAAGCTATCTCCGGCTGAGCATCTGGTTGGTGCAGAGTTTTTGAAGGTCGCCCTAGATGTCGCGCTGTGTAAGCACTCTTCACCGCGTATTCATACAACTATCTTACATGCGGATATACTCATAGGTCATTACCTTGCCTGGACGAAGGGCAATGTCCATCACAGAGACATTAGCCTTGCAAATATCATGTACAAGACCAACGACCAGGGCGAAATAGTTGGCGTCCTGAATGACTGGGATCTCTCAACCTTCGCCGACGCCCTGCACGATGGGTTGGAACGCACCGGTACCATCCCTTTCATGGCCATGGAGCTCCTCCTCGCAGAGGGTGTAGCGGGCCACATTGAGCATCTCTATCGGCATGACCTTGAGGCCCTATTCTGGGTGCTAGTATGGGTCTGTTATCCCGTGACGACATTCTCGTCCTGGGAAACAGGCACGTACGCCCAGTGCCGCGTGAACAAAGGCGACTATCTCAACTCCGGAACTCACGCCAAAATTCTACCTGCATGGCGCGGCCTCGAATCTCTGCTCTTGGGGCTCACGATCTGGTTCCATGGAATCCAGACGGATCGTGCCGGGAAGAGGCGGTTGGCTAAGTTTCGTGCGAAAGGCAAAAATCCGTATCCGACTATCGAAGAGCAGACTCCGCAGGAGATCTGGAAGGAGTTCTGTGATACGCTACGAGCTGCCATTCCGGATCTGAACGAGCAAGAGTCCGGACCTAGTGTCGCACGCGTGTTGGAGAACTTCCTTGCGAGGGCAGACAAGTACTGAGGGCTCTCGTTTGATGATACATTCTGTACTACATATGATACCAATTCAACTTCGAGTTCCAGTTGCTTCAGAACGCCCAGATATCTCTCATGTTCGAAGGCGATGTACTTAGAGTATGGGACAGCACATGGCCTCATAGCGGGAGTAAGGTCCTCTTGCATACGTGTATGGCACCGCGTAGTGCCAGAGTAAAGTGGTAGCAATGAGGAAAGGATACATCGCCTCACTGTAAGCCCAGAAGGTCGTGAAATTCCGTCGGAAGGGAGCGAAATTCGCTTTTCGCGCGCCTTTCCAGGGATACAGAAGTTTCACGACACCAGGCGGGTCACTAGCTTACCCATTGACCGGTATCCCACCTCGAAGTCGCCAGTTAACTTCCTGAAATTCGGGCCCCGTCGACTGGGCGGCCTGCGTGCGGCGGAATGACGTCACCCTCGGCACTTGAGTCGGCATTCGCACACAGTCGCACACCAACGCTCCTTGCTTCCCTCCACGACGACGGCGTCGATGCTGCCAAACGCGGTTTGCCTCTCTAGATTACTTGAATGTCGTAGCCTCTGCTACTAGTAGCGCTGTGGCCATATCTCTGGTGTGGGATGTTCGGGGCGAAATGATGCGTGTGACATTCCGAC